TCCCTAGATCACCCCCTCCCTCTTAACACCCATACTAATTGCTTCTTTGAACCATTAAAGAAATGCAACAAATGAAGTGAAACTGTACTCAGGTGGCACGGAATAAGTTACATTTATTTATTTAGATCTATAAACTCACCCTATAGCTCAGGTGGCATGTCCCTTATTTCATTTATCCCAGCAATCAACCAGGGTGGGCCCCATGGTACCATGGTGAATCTGAGGGTGTTCAGGGAGTACCGTATTTTTCGCTCTATAAGACGCACCTGACCATAAGACGCACCTAGGTTTAGAGGGATCCATGGAAAGCTTCCTGATAATCACAGGCACATTCCCCATCACTTCCCCATGGGCTTCATTAAAAGACGGGTTGCCATTTGAAAACACACACCGACCTGTGATTAACAGCTCTCACCTGTGCCGGAGGAGTGGGGTGGAGCAGGGCGCGCCGAGCGCGTGTCGGCCAGGTGTGGTGCAGCCAGGCCGGCAGCGTGCCGGAGGTGGACTTCCAGGCAGCGCAGTGGCAGCAGGTCTTCTGGGCAGTGGGGGTGAGCAGTCCGTCTCTCCATGCGGCCGGCAGGTTAAAACCCGCGGCTCCTCCTCCTCCGTGGCAGGTCTTCCCAGGCGGTGGGGTGAGCAGTCCGTCTCTCTGTGCGGCCGGCGGGTTAAAGCCCGTGGCTCCTCCTCCTCTGCACCACTCTCCCTGAGCGGCACAGCTCTCACCTGAGCTGGGGGGGGGGGCGGAGCAGCACACGCCGAGCACATGCCGGCCAGGTGGTGCCACATGGTGCAGGCGGGCCGGCAGCATCCCGGGTGTCGGGCACACACACATTAGTTCTATAAGACACACAGACATTTCCCCTTACTTTTGAGGGGGGAAAAGTGCGTCTTATAGAGTGAAAAATACGGTAACTGGCCTCAAGTTAATATGGGAGTCTTGCTGAGCCAGATTGTTTACCCAGCTTCAGATCCAACATTTCCCTGCTGATTCTCTGACAAATTATGCAATAAATTCAGGCATATAAAAAGTCACCTTCCAGTGGCCTGTGGCAAGAACTAACCAAGAGATGACACAGGTGGATGGATGTAACTATGAAGGGAACTGTTAATTTATTCCTTTTGTGATGCAAATCATGCACAAATGGCAGTGCAGGGATGCAAACGAGTACCAGTTGTTGTGGGTTTACATGCAATTCTATTTATATTGACTCAAAAGTAAGTCCCACTGAGTTCAATGGGATTTACTTCTACATGAGTGTATACAGGCCACTTGTTATAAGTGAGGCTTACTTGGAAGTAGACGTATGTAGGATTACATTTGCCCAAAACAATCCTACCATACATTTATGGCCAGGTAAGGGGAGAGAGAGCCTCTGAAAAAGCAACTGTCATATCCGATGTCCTGCTGTTTCAGTGAGGGCAGGGCAAGAGGTGACAGCGGCGGGGTTCTTGTTCCCTTCCATTGATTACAATGAGATGGGCCTGGGGCTGATGCAGTTATTCTGTATTTGGGCCATGCCATTTCTGAGGACCTTGGATATGCAGTATCCATGCCTGTTCCTTTCATATGCCATTTCCCTTCCTCTGTTCCACAAAAATATTGCCAGTGGAATCCCTATATCAGCAGAGCTTTCCCCAGGCATGACATCTGGCAAGTGTGTTGTCTTGTGGGCTAACCTGTGTGCCCAAGGGTGGAACATCCATTTATTTATTACACTATTTATTTAATTTATATACTGCCCAGAAGGTGGAATTCTCTGGGCAGTTTACAACAGAACATAAAAATACAATATAAAATATGTACAACATTTAAAAATCATAAAAAGGTTATCATATGAGATTTAAAACCAAATTAAACTGCATATTTTAACAGTTACAATAGCCTATATATATTAATCAGACAACCTGTTTAAACTGCTAGCGAAGACCCAATAAACTAATTAAATGCTCTGTGATAGAGGGTTCTCTTAAATTGGCAATCTGGAAAAGATAGTACATTTGGGGCCAGGCAGGCCTCAGTGGGAAGGTCATTCCAAAACTAGGAGGCCACCACTGAAAAGTTAAGGCCCCACAGCTGGATTATCAGGAGGGCTTAGACAGTACCTTTAGTCACTTATCTAAATGTATTTGTAAGGCTTAGCAAATTGCTTTGTTAATTGCCAAATATTAAGTCACCCTCTTAGCCTGGTCAACCTTTGGTTTGGCCTTAAGAAACAAGATTGTCAAACATAATGTAAGTTCAACAGAGGTATAATCAGGAGAGGAGTTATTTTTCAGGTCATATATTATCATCATTATCATCAAAGACTTTGGATCTCTGCTAACAAAAATCTAATTCCTTGGTTGGAAGAATTGAATCTTGCTCTCTGGAATATGTAACTTTTACCGATACCGATACCGATACTGAAACGAAGGGAAGGGAAGGGCCAGAGTAAAAGCGGTTCAGCTGAACAATTCATGAATAAAAATTATTCTGAATTCACTGTACATCAGTGTCGGCACTGCTTGCTTATACGACTTTGGCTGCCAATCACAATGTATTAACTGTGTTGCACAAAAATAATTTACACTACAATTTCACTTTTTTCTGGGGGGAGGAAGGATTTCCCTAAATTCAGTGGGGCTTACTTTCAGGTACTTGTGCTAAAGCCTAATACAGTTGAACTTAAGTGTGTTATGGCTTATAGCACATTAAAAAATCAGGTGACTTTAATAGTAAATCCCAAAGAAAATACTAAATGGCTGAACTTTCTGATTTCTTCCTATAAATTAGAGGATCAGATGTGCCTAAGGTACTTGAGAATGTCGGTAAGAATGTCTGACTTCAAATTTAGCAGGTATGAAATATCACTAACTGATCTTAACAGAGGTGTACCACACTGCACAGGAAGCTGATGATTGAGAAATAGAATTTCAAAGTTTACTTGGATACATGCATGCAAGAATTCTAAACTAAGCCATTCTAGATTTTTTTTTAAATTGAAGGGAGGTGTAGAATACATAAATAATACATTTATTAAAATCAGGTTTCTTATATTAAGATTCATAGATTATGTGAACAGATACTGATTTCCATAACAATTAAAACATATTAATACTCAGAGTGTTCTCACAATCTAGGAGCATAATTTTGAAACTGGTCAGCCCATATTCACCACAGAAATTTGTCTTAATACATGAGAAATTTGTGTCTTAAAACACAAGATTTCTGTCATATTCATTCAAGAATACTAAGTAAGATCATATATTTGACAACTGTAGCTACAATCCTAAACACACCCCCTTGAAGTCTCATTGAGCACCTAAGTAAAAATGCAGAGGATTTTGTATTTTCTTAAGCAAAGTAGGCTGGTAATTACTGGGAGAAAAGGTGTTAAGTTTGGACATCATGACAACCCAGGCTGTTGTTGCTCTTGTTTCAGAACAAGCAAGAGTGAAGCCCTAGGTTCCAGCCCTGGGTTGTCTCTACCCACACAAGTCGTGACAAGACAGTGTCCCTGGGGTATACGCAATGCCAAACAAACCAAGGACAGAAAATCTTGCATTACTTAGCCATTCCTTCTTGCCACATTACTAATCAGACACATGGTGCTAACGTGCTCATTCACGACAACCCAGTGTTTCTCCAGCTGATGGAAAGGAAATGCCCATGCTTGATTCATAAAAGCCTGAAACAAATAACATATTTTTTTAAAAAATGTGTGTGTCGTGTCTGGAATCTGCTTAGATATGGAGTAGTAAACAAAAATGGCAAGTGAGCAAATCAGTAAACCACAAGGTGACATTTTCTGGATCCTAGTAAGTGTGATGGGTCTAGTAAGCTGCCTACAACCTAAAGTAAAGTGCAGTCCTATGGAAATGAGCATAAACCTCCGAACGCTTGGGCATGCAGTTTATTCAGCGCAGAACAGGAGGAGTAACAGAGGCAATCTTCACCTTCCTGGATCTCATGCTCTGCATTTTTGTTAAATGGATGTTTTCAGCCATCTAGTGATGGCATTTCCAAGGGGAAGGAACGGTGGTGGCAGCGGCACTGGCGGGACCTTTAGGGCACCTTGTGTCCTGGCTTTAACACTCTCCTCTTCCCCTCCCCACATGAAATCCAGACCACAGGAGCGCTCGCTCCTTGTGTTATTTATTAAGTCAGATATTAAATCAGATAACTGCGCCCACTACTCTTTTAAAAGGAGACATGTGCAATAAAGAAAATCAGATTTAAATTGCTAAAATCTGACTTCTGCACTCACCTTCAGTGTTTATCTACTAATAATTTAGTAGAAACATTCACACTATGAAGCAAGGTTGGTCACAACTTACAAGGTTGGCCAGGAAATATGTTTCAATTCATTCGGAGCTGTCCTTGCTTTTTTTCCTCTCTCTCCACACAACACCTTCATCCTTTCTACTTAACATCCTGAAAGATTCTTATATGGCTTGTAGTGACTGATAGTCTCTGTATCACCCACATGCATTTAATTCATTTTATCAGTTATCTCTGCGTATTTATTTGACAAGTGCAGCCTCTTTCTGGAGCAGCCAAAGGAAAAACTACTTTGAACACCATTTAAGGGATTATTGTTGACAGAATTACTATTTCTTGCCTTTCAAAGCAAGTGATAACTCTGTACAGGCCTTCAAATTACAGCCTCTAGCAAAACTGGTAGCGGCTGATCTGTCCCAATTAGGTTGAGTCAACTTGTCAGATATCAAATTTGCTAGTTGTATTATCAGTCTAAGAGGCACAGATATATCAGTAAAAAAGCAATTAATGTCCAGTTAGATCGGACAGGGCTGTGTTTCTGAAAACAGGGCTACATATGAAAGAATTTGTCAAAGAATAAAAAATATCCCTGTTGTCACAACTAATTTCTTTTGGCTGCACTGTCGGCTAACTGCAGAGAGTTCAGTAAAGTGCAAGTCTGTAAAACAGAGGCCTCAGTGGAAGGATAGTGTGATGGCAAGACCCTTTGGGACCGAATGATCTAAGAAAAAATTGTTCAAGTGGTTTGTGAAGCTTATGTATTCTCCTTGTTGGAGGAAATTGAATTTAGACAGGACAGGAGTGCTACTGGTGGGTATTTCTGCCAGCCAGAACTTTTAAAAAATTATGCTTTTAGAAGCAAACACACCCCTCTTCAAAGCACGTGATGGAGTTTTGACATGCTCCTGAACATGCATTGGGTTGCTCACTTCACAGTTGTAGCTGGTATGACCTCTCTCTCCACAGACAAAGGATCTTGCCAGTGTCATGTATGTTACGAGTATATGTTCAGTTTAACTACCATCATGGGTGGCCTGGCCAACAGACAAAATTGTTATGTTGGCCACTATCCTATGTGGCTGCCTGTAACCCTCTAGACTCAGAAGGCTGTGGGCATCCAAGTGAGTGTGCAGGAATGGAGAGCCAAGGATTGCTTCCATGCTGCAAAACGCAGGCAGCTGCTTTGGGCTGTCTGTGCCTCTTCCCTCTGCTTTTGAGGAGGAGGGGCCAAGGCAGTGGCTGGGTATTCATTGAATGGTGCCACCTTGCTCCTCCCCTCCCTGGCACCTGCCCAACACCAGCTCCCAAGAGGGTCTTCCATCTCCAGACCCACAGCAGGCATGGAAAGAATCCTGGCCATAAGGGCAGAGGGAGGCCCTTCAAGGACAGGGGCCATGCTATAGCCTTGGAGGGCTTTTCTGAGGTCACAATGGAGACTCCAGCTTTACCTATGACTTTTGAAACAGCCTCTAGTGCCATAGGATTGCACCCTAGATGTGCTGTTATTACAACTGTACTGCCAGGAATGGCAAGAGGTGCTTGTGGGGTTGTCTGCCTCAGGGGCTGAGGTAACTCTGGCTCACTGCGCAGCTCGACGTGGATGGCCAAGTGGAGTGTGCCATTTGCTGCACTGAGGCTGGCCCTAACAGGATGCACTTTACATGGAGCTGTCCTTGACCTCCATTCTGATATTCCACCTAGTCCTGAATGCACCAGTGCTATTTTTCTTAGGTACAGACAGTCCCTGGGTTACAGCTGAGTTCTGTTACTGAGAACATCCTTAAATCAATTTTTATGGAAATGTAAGTTGGATCACATGAGGAAGCCAAATGATTATCTTAGTATTTACCTTTCTATGCATATAGAACACTTAAGAAACACTTCCATATTCACTTAAACACCTTAAACAGAACACATGTTAATGATAGTAATACAGTAATAATAAAGTAACTACAGTTACTGGAGAGAGAATCTGTATATATGAGTGTAGGTACACAGTACAGTTCTTAAAAAAGTTTAGATAGAAAAAATAGTAAAAAGATTATTAAAGGCTAACACTCTTGAGATAACATTAAGCCTAACATTAACTGGATGATTATAGAGAAAGGATTGGTGTTAGAGAGGATGGATCTAGTGCTGTGGGGGACAAGGTTTGAATATGCTGCTGGAAGGGGAGTGGTTAGCACTGGAGTTGCTTTCAAGTTCTGACTTTGCTGCCTGATAGCATTGCTTTTTCTCTCCTCCTTCCTTTACTCCTCCTTCTTTCCTTCCTCTCCTTGCCAACTGGTGCTTCCAGCTTGCCATCCAGTGCTTGCGGGTGCTTGCTTGCTGCTTGAGGCTGAGGTGGGACTTCCAGGTTTGCTTGTTTGTAAACACAGGTTGTTTGTAACCTGGACGGTCGTAACCTGGGGACTACCTGTACAAGCAACTAGCAGCATGTGACATTGGCTTCCTGAGCTCTCCTGCTTGCCAGTTTGTATCCAGGCTAAATTCTCTTTGCAGTCTTAGCTATTGTTTTGTTGTATTTGGTTGAGTGTTGTATATCAATATTAAGCTACTTTGAATGCTACTAAAGCAGAAATGTAGGGTGTTCATATTTGGAAATAAAATAAACCAGATTTCAGCATGCTGAGATTTGACCTTTAAGTTTGGGGTCAGGAATACCTTAGGAAGCAGTTGCTTCCAGATATATTGTCTGGGAGTTTGGAGCAATGAAATATGCTGTTCTGTCTGCCATTACTATCTGAGGCAATCCTGTATGGCATCAGAATCAAGGTTTCTCTGGTTGTGAAGCTAGAGAGATTTTCTAGCTATATTTTATTGAGCACTTTGGACATCATGTACACATCACATTTTATTTCAATGTTTTAACCTTCTGCAACAATTTTATTTCTTGATATAAATCCCCACAGCACCTTTTAGTTGGATAAGTGATATTTAAATATAATACCTTAAAAGAATTTATGAAAAGATATGTGAGATGTATGTGTATGTAAGAAACCTTACAAAGAAAATTTAAGCAAGCAAAATATGTAGGTCTGCTTCTATCTTATATCAGTCTATAAACTACAAGTTAAGGGGTGATTCTAATCAGTTTGCAATTTTACCAGAAACATCCATTTTCTATCACAAGATAGCTGGAAAATGTTCAAAAGAGAGGGTGATCTACAGCAAACAAGCATGCTGGTGGAATAGTCTCTGAAGGGACAAACAATTAAGAGAGATTACCCCCAAAACTCCCAACTGCCTGCAATGTACGTAAAGGGTAAACTAATTACCTGCCCACTGCCACCACCATTTTTAAATCCACCCAGTCTGAACTGGAGGCTAACCAGACATTCTGAATCATCTTAGCACAAAGAAATACCTTCTATTTTTAGCCTACAAGCCTAAAACCTTAGCCAGTAGCAAGATCAAAGCAGAAAGCTATGAATCTGCTTCTGAGGTTTGACTGGGAACAAAGCATACACAAGCTTGTAATGGTGAAATTTATTTACAATAAGAAGTTTGGGAGAAGATAGAAAGATTGCAAATATCAAAGAAAACAGCAAACCAAAACCACTCCTTTTGGAAAAGCCTTGGAATTAGGTTACACCTTTCTGATCAATGGAGAAACCCTTTAGAACAAGACAGTAGGCGAAAGCAAGAAAGCAATACCTATCCTATCATACATGTTACCAAGGGAAGGTTCTTATGCTAAGACAGGGCCCCATCAGGATATAACAGCTTACAGGTCTGCAGGCCACTTAGCCTATGCAGACTGAAGATTCATGCACAAAACCAGAACAAAGAACAAATGCAGAACTAATAGCAGTCATCACCCCCTTAGCTAGATACCCTACCCTGGGCACTTGACCAGTGTGAGGTGAGACTCCATAGAAAATGACTGTTGGCTGGATAAATTCCTTGGCTTCCAGGAAGGGAGGGGGACTGGGAAAACTTCTACTGCAAGCCAGCTGAAATCAGTCAACCTAATTTTGGCAAGATGTTTGGCTCTGTCCTTGAAGACCTCCTGACTAGCAGGAAAAGTGCAATAAAGTACAAGGGCAGTTTTAATGAGTGTGTGCCAGCCCCATCCTCCCAAAATGGAGCTTGTTATTAGCAGCAGGATAGAGCGCTTCACATCATTGCAAATGTGGCACCTCCCCTCCACAGTGCCCTATCTGATATGCTAAACATTCTACATTTTGAATTTTAAATCCCTAAAGGGGTAGGGAAGAGGGGGCATGCATTTAAAATTGCATAAACAAACAAACAGGAAATGCTTATGGTCAGTTTAATGACCCATCTGCTTCAGAGGCCCATGTAAGAGAGGATATTGCAGAATAAATGAAGTGAATGCCATGTAAGCCAGATGGCAAACAGACTTCATTAATATGTAATTTGGCAGAGTGTGTGTGCGCGTGTGTGAGCAGGGATTCTTGATGCAAGAGCAGAGGTATGGGTATTCCAAAATGCCCTTATTTCATCTGTGAAATGGAAGGCATGGGTCGCAAATTCCCTGACTGTCTGAGAGCATCAATGATGGACTGCTTAAGGGTATAAAAAAAAAGCCTAGTTATGTATATGCATTTAGTTTGGGTTGCTGACTGTTTGTAGCAGTGACACCATATCTTGCTTCTGGCTCACCATTCTTTGCTACCATAATTTCAGATCCTTCTTTTCCTTCCATCTGTGTCAGAACTAGCACTGGAATCATCATCTGCACATGCTTTCCTGTCCTAAGTAGTTTCATTCTCCGATACTATTTTCTCAAGATCTATATTGCAGAAACCAGTCTGAAACCTGCATTGTCATCCTGCATGTTTATTCTCCTACCTTCTGATTAGGTATCAGGCTATAAAACCAGATTTTATACTGTCATTGCGCCTTTTGGCTGTTCTTTTGTTTTTATATTCTGGAAACTACTTTTATTTTTTTAATAACACATTTTAGAAAGTCCAAGCAATCCTAAGTCAGACTGTTCCTAGACAAGCACTGTATTTCAATGTCTTCCCACTCCAGCAAAAAAAGTACAACCCTAAAAGTATATTTCAAAATGCTATTTTTTCTGAGGAAAAGTTGTTCTGCTTATTTATCAATCCCATTATCATTTGCATCCCATTATCATCAAGGGATTCTGGGAAAGATACATTAGAGATGTGCATGTCATTTCTGCTTGCAAAACATGCCAGGATATTCTATTGACAGTCTGAAACATGAGTGTGAGCTGGACAATATGTTCTCAGAAAATGATTGCAAATTCTCAATGTAAAAGTAAATTTTGCAATTGTGGTGCAAATTAAAAATGCACCATTTTACATTTTAGTGTATGGAGGAAATTGCACAACTTGAAATGTTCACAAACTTTAAGGGGTCTTGCACAACTTTTATGCTCAGTCATGTACATTTGACAGATTTTCCCATCCACACAAATGAAAGGCAAACACAAGCTCAAGAGAGACAAGCACTGAGCTGATGTCCACAGAATCTTGGTGAATTAAAGATATCACTTGCTCCCTTGTCTCTGGCATCCATAGTGCTATCTCATTTTATTCTTACAACATGGGAGTCTGGTTTGACCAAGAGTGATTTGCCCAAATTAGCTTCATAGTTGAATTAAGATCTGAACCCAGATCTCCCCAGTGCAAGTCTAATGCTTGGCCTAATCCCACAGTGGCCCTACTCCACTGCAAGCTGAATTCACAACTTGATATCCACAGAACAGATTACTATATCTGTGCTAAACTTATGCTGCAATTGGAATCTGTTGCATAAACACACAGAAGTGGTGAAATATTATAATACATGTGTCCCTTACTGTATCGCTTTGGTCCATCTTCCAAACAGAATGAAAGGGTTAAAGTTGCATCATCTTCAAAAAACTCTGTTGCAAAAGCATCCCACCAGAGGTTGTCACTCTCCTACAAGGGAAGAAATTGTTCTTTTAACACAAAGAAATCAGATCCAGTTTGTCATGTTCCTTTTAAAATATCCCGTTAAAGTGCTAACTGTTCCTTTTAAAGTATTCTCAGTGAAAACATTATTTTTAAAAATTACCATTAGCAATTAAGTGAGACTTGAAATCTTGAAAAGAGACCTCTGTGTTAGAAACCTATAAAACTTCTCTATCCAACAGAAATTTCAGATTAAATTAAAGGACATTTGGGGATAACACCTTTAAAATTTACTCCAATTTTGCCAACAGAGATCTGCACTGTTATATCAGCTTTGCCAGGCAGTGTTTTGAACAGCAGTCCAAATGCTCTTGGACAAGGCAGTCAGTCAGTGGCCTTTGCCTCCCCTTGTGCAAGCAGCACCCTGACCCTCGTAGTCACCATGTCTCTTGATCTTATGCACTTTTGCCCCATACCAAACCAAACTCTGGACACCTACAAGTCCTTTATCACTATATTTTGGAGTATCACATTAGACAAAATATCATATTGTAATGATACTTTAAATAGCATGATATAAATATAAATGTCATAGTGGAATAATTACTACCATGACCCATTTCTGTAATTGCTGTCCCGGCAAATGCCAGTTATAACAGGACTGGAATTTCTGATTTTGTGAATGCTCTGCCTATCCCCTTATGTTCCCCACTCATCAATTGGAAACACAAGATAAATAGCCAGAGCCAAGGAGATTAACCCTACCCAAGGGGATTTCCCCCCCTGTAAATGTCTCCTTGTCTCAGAAGACAGCCGTGGAAGGGACTGCTGAGACCAGTATTCTGCTGAGTCCAGAACAGAACCAACCCCTTCAAAATCTCATAGATTCTTTGATCTCCTGAAATTGTAAACTTGAGTTACTTACACATGCACAGAAAGTGTGTGTGCCCTCCTGCACAGAAAAGGAATAATCAAAGCAAGAACTCTACTTTTTAAACATTACATAAGCCATCTGCAGGCCAAATAAAGTCTCAGTTAGGCATACTGATCTGGAACTAACTACCTGGATTTCTGTAGAGAGTCTTACCTAGCCATTCTTGGAGCCTTTCCGTCTCATGTGGAGAATTAATCTATCCCACAGGATTATGCATCAGAACCCCAAACAGCAGAACATTCACACCTGCTAAAACTGTTCAAGAGGTGCCACCAATGGGACACATCCACCCTCCTGACAACTGAAGTTACAGAGCATCACTGAATAGGCTGAATTTGGCCTTGGGGTTGCCAATTACTGAGGTCTGGAAGTTTCTGGAAGTTACTCACTCACTCACTCACTCACTCACTCACTCACTCACTCACTCACTCACAGTGCAACTCATACATTTCTTGCTACCATGCCAGTGTAGAAAATACATTATGGATTCTCTGAACAGGAAAGCATAAACAACCAATTTCTATTACAATTTGAACATTATCCAAGATAGTTAATCGGATGTTTTCTGAAGGCTTTAAATTATGATTTTTTAAATGCAGGCAGTTGAATATGTAAACCTTAGAGTCCATTAGTGAATATACACTCCAAATTAAAATCACATGTTCTAATATTTGCCATTGAACAAAATGAAATTCACAGCCAAAATGGTGGAGGAAACCAAACGAGAAAAAAGCATAATTACAAGAAGGAAAAATGATTTTCAAAATTCCCCTTTTCCAACAAAAAGAGTCAAGGCTGCCTCCAGGCATCCTTAACTCATGCACTGACAGGTTACCTGGGATTTTTGGCAGAGTAATTATTTTCCAATTCAGCAATAATGAGATATTACCATGGCAACCCTTCTTTCACATAACACACTCATGCTCTCAAACACTGAAATAATGGACAAAAAATTAATACTTTGAAAAGTACTTTAAAAATACATTTAAAGCAAAGGACAAAAGGAAGAAAAGAACAAAAGAAACTTGACAGCAGGTTAGGAAAGGAGAAGTGACCAGTGACCCTTAGCATCCATCATGCATTCGGTTTTCAGGTAAGGTTTTCTTCCGTAAAAACTGCACTGCATAAGTCCATGTTAATTTTTGTTCCTGTTTTGTATCATGAACTCTCTTCAAATAAAAATTCTTTAGAGGATTTTTCAAGAAATACTGGATATCATTATTACCACATTCTTAACTGTCTCTAGGCCAGATTATACAGGATTGTTCTTACCCTGTACTCTTTAATTGGTCCACAGGTGCCCTATAAAGTTCAACTGTTCTATTCACCAGTGTATTTGTTCTTGTTGTTGCAGTAGCAGTTTATTGTATAATCTAAGAAAATGATCTCTTTAAGACACTTTTTGGTAGTAATCCAGATCTCTTTGTGGGTACCAACTGGGGGCTTTCAAGAGGAATGGACTCTCCACACACATCAAAAGGCATCTCCAGTCAGTTCTGTGGCCCTGGATGAACACCATGAAACAGATGGCGAAGCAGATTTTATTTGCATCCATATCAGATATACAAGGGAAGGCTATTTCCACTCTTAATTTTCTTTCCCTAGTTGAGGCAAATACGCTAAGACTGAGCCAGATTCTTAGGGTACAGTGCTTCCTGATTCTTCTTTTACTGAAAAATCACCATGCCTCTTTGGCTCACAGTTTATGGAAAGACTACAACAAATCATAATGTTTCTTTTGTAATTGGACTCTGTTTTCCCAGCAATTAGTCTATGTTTCATTGTCATGGAGAAAAGAACCACAGCACAAACCGCACTGCTGCAGATGGTCCTTATACTTTCTGATGTTTTGATGGGGGAATAGTTTTGACATATGCTTTTTGGAATGGATTATGAAACAAATTTGCACAAATAATGTAAATTCTGCAAATTCTCTTAGGGGCTCTTTTATAAAACACATGCAAATTGCAGCCCACATTAGACATACAAGTCCACAAACTGGCTTAAGATCCTTCACAAAAACTCAGTGCCTGCACAGGGATGGTGAATCCGAATCAAAGAGTGTGAATCTGGAAAATCCACCAGATTTTCACTGCTCTATCAGATTCCACACACATTCCTGGGCAAAATATCCCAACTTTTTCATATATGGTATCTGAGCCAGGAGTGACTAAGCTTGTGGTGGGCTACAAAACTGTGTAGAAAAGGAACTGAAAATAGTATCCTACTGTCCTTATACAAACCCATGGTTTATAGTTCTGGTCACTCCATATAAGAAAGTATATTGGAGGGGTCCTGCTGTACTACTGTCTAATTAAACAATGAAATTCATTTCTATACAATGTAGCAATGACCACCAATTTGGATGGCTTTAGAAGGTGACTGGAGTAAGTCCTGGAGAAGGAGGCTGTTGATGGTTACCAGTCCTAATGCTCACAGTGATTCTGGGGAGCATGAGCATGGCAATGATACCGCACATGTCTTGCTTGTGGGTTTCTGATTGGCAGCTCATTGGCTATTGTTTGAGTACCATGTTGGAGAAGAAAGATTCAGCTGGTCTGGATCAGTACGGTTCTTTTTATGTTCTTATGCTTAAATAAACAAGATTCTGGCAAAAATTAAGCTGACATAGGAAGAAAAGCATAGAAGTGACTTCTTGTTCTATCCAAAACAGAAAAGAAAAAAACAAGAGAACAAAACAAAAGGAAGGACTGCTTTGCAGTCATGCAGATCAATTTAATCAACATTACTTACCCATATCCCACAAAAGGAAACCTCACTAATTCTCCATTTCTGGCTTGCCTTTTTACATTGACAATATGCAAAAAGGCCCTACCCCCAAATGAACACAACACACACATAGAAAGTGCTTGGAGTCATTTTGGTAAGGAAGTGTTCTAGCATTAGAGGCAATAGCCAAAAAAAAAAAAAAAAAAAAAAAAAAAAAGCCACTCAGGAGAACTCTCCCATCTCCACCACACAGCTCTTTCACACCCACTATGGTAGAGGAGTCTTTGTCAGACATGCACAGAGAAAAAGTGTCCAGTCCACTATTTAAACAGAGAAAAACTTCTGCAATAGTATTGTAGACGCTTTGCCATTTCACTTGTATCTTACAGTGGAAAGGCAACGACTGTGTGATGTTAGGGGCCCACCTTCAATGAAGAGCCCTTACAGCCCAATACTCTGCCAGTTCAGAAGGGGCACCCCTGTCCTGTCTAAACTGGCAAAGGATTGCACCCTCAGGGATCTCCAACAGAGCCCTCCTGATGTGTTTCATTAGGAGCCATTCTTAAAGAAAGTACTTGTGCTGCAGGGTTTGTCCTGTGAAGCAAAAACCAATTTTGAGGGACGGGGGCCATTTTTATCAGGAAAGCAACATGGGGGGAAGAGCTCTCCTCATCCACATACACAATTGATACTCCTTTTGTCAAAGCAGGAGCTTCAGTTCCAACATATAGACCAGCTAGAGAGTTTAAGCATTAAGTTCTGTTAAGAATAAGAATACATTATTTAATTATAAAAGGAAATCTTTAGCATAGTTACACTCAGGGCTTTTTTTCTCATAGGACACAGAGGAACGGCGTTCCGGCACCCTTTTTTGACGGATTTTTCCAACGGATTTTTCCAAGTGATTTTGAATCGCCCTGTCGGGCGTAGCAGATCAGTGGCAAAAACCATTAAAATAGTGCATGTGGGTTGCTTGTGTGTCCGCGCTGATTGTGAGGGCGCTGCTCAGCTTGGGACACTGCTCAGCTTGGGACTGGTCGTGTGGTCGTGTGCTGAGTGCTTACTGCCGGCGGCGACCATTATGTTTATGTGTGTGTAGAGTGACTGGCTACGTGCAAAAGGTAAATAAGTTCTTTATTTCAAAAAAAGTTGGTGAATTGAAAATCTTTTTTAGTGTAAAAGTGTGACCCCAAGACATGAGTTCTGACACCATTTTTCTTTTTCTTTTTTTTTACAAAAAAAAGCACTGGTCAAACTTAAGTATGTATTATTTTGAAGTAGGAGACATAATCCAAAAATAGGCATTTTTACATCCCTTTGATGGGGATGGGAGAGGCTCAGTTATTTTTTTCCATTTTAAAAT